AGCAGTGGCCTTATAGGCAATATTGTCATCAGTTTTCAAATCATTTTCACTAAATATATTCAGCATAAGCTGCTCCAAAGCTTCAGACCCTGGGCAATTCTCACATCTGTGAAGCATACAATTTCTTGAGTCCACAGAACATACTATAGTGGAGAGGATATTTTTGTATTCAATTTTCTTGGATAATGCTGCTGTCAGTAGCTTTAAGTTTTGGTGAGTCTCGCAAACACATACTGAATGAACTCCACAGGCAGTAACGCACCAAGGTGGTCGTAAAGAAGAGAATTTTGACAAACCGATTTTTAGCTGCGGATATCTTTCTTGAAAAGTCAAATGCAGTTCCTTTAAATTTACAAAAAGCAGTAGCTTTTGCATGTGAGTTCTTTTACCAGTTTCCGAATCTCTGACTGACACAAATTCTTTCTTTCCAGGACACATTCTGGAAAATTCATCATCTTCATAGAATTGCCTTACTTTTTCAGATACCTCATTGGAAATTGATTTTCCTTTCAGCTTTTCTGGTTCTGCCAAAATACCGTAATCCTTTTTAAGTTTTCTAGCCTTATTGACCATGTATGTTGAGACTACGAATTCATTAGGGGTCTTCTGAATCAGCTACTCGTTACAAGAGTTAGTAATTTTAGAACTTCTTGTTCACAAGAAATTTTACATTTTTCTTTTAAGAGTTCAATCAGGCAGTTTAAATATTTACATCTACAATATTAAAAATGTCATTATTATTGTACGGCGCAGCTGAAATGAATAAAATGTCAATCTGTCATTTGAACCTTATCTAAAAAAAAATTCAGTCCTTTGTCAAGGAGAGTTGTCAAAGATTTCTTGGCCTTGAAATAAAAGTTAAACTGAAGTTTTTTGTCACACGAAAGTACAATAATTTTTTTGTCAGCTATTAGGTGGAAAGCCATGATGATTTTTTTTTCTGGAAGTAGTGGTATACCATCTTAACAACACATAAAAATTTAAAACATGTGATCCTGATCAAACTTGCCAAAAAAAATTGATATTTTTTTTAACAAATGCAACATTGCAATTTCTCATGCAAAAACAATAGAAAATATACAAATTCTGATTAATTTTTTAAAATCAGCTTTAAAAGTTACCTCTTGAAATAAACTGTCACTTAAATAACTTGGGCAGGTGTGGAGTTATTTAAGAAAATAAAAAAACAAAAATCACATCTTGCTGAAATGTTTAAAATTTCAATAATTAATTTATCGGCAATTAATTATCAAAGAACCTTCAAAATTGACATTTGTGGTTATCCTAGCCTATGTATCATCTGCACAAAATTTGAGGAAAATCTGAGACGGTGTGGTGAACTTTTCTTATTATTGTGTTTGATTTGACGTGGACTGACCCTATACCTATATTACCCTAGGTTATAGGTTTATTTATAATCAAATCGCTATCCTTTTTTAAAACTCCAAATCGTATATCTACTTAATTTTCAATATACATGTATTAAAACATAAAAAAACATGCGAAAACCATAATTTAACCAATCAAAATAATGTAACCCAGGGTTATATATATATATATATAACCAAAAATACCCCATAAAACCTAAAGTGGCTAAATTGAATAAAACAAAAAAAAATAAGGCACAGTTCTACAATTTGAGTTTAGCTTTCAATTACATTTATTATCTATGATTTAAATGAAGCTCAAACTATTATATCTTATATTATGTAATTGTAAACTGATTCAATAAATATTATTATTATTATTATTATATTAATCAAGGTGCAGTTGCTAAGTTTATTAACTTGATTAAAGTAAACTGCAACTGAACTCAAATTGTACAACCAGACTTACAAGTGTTGAAAAGTGACTTTTTCATGAGAGTGTTTAAGTTGCATTAACATGAGCTTGAAGAAAGCTTTTCTCACAAGTGAAACACAATGTTTTTTCTACTACCCTTTTATTTTTTAATATTTTCAAATACAAAACAATATAACCTAAAAACGTTTTGACAGCTGTTAAAATTACTTTCACCTTATTCTTTTAATTTTTAAGGTAAAAGTTAGGTACTTAAAATCAATAAACTTCCCTTCTCAATTTAAATATAGGCACTAAAAATTAGAACTTATTATACAAACACAATTAATTGTGTTCTAAATGATATTTAGACATACATATACAAATACAATACAAATTTTAATTAAATCCCGCAAATTCAAAGAAATCTAGCTGTTATACGTCTGAATGTCAAATGATGCTGTCAATTTCTTTTCACACAGACCTGTCACTTTTCACACAGACCTGTCATTTTTCACACAGAAATGTCACTTTATATTGGTGTTTTGCCTTGCCAATGAAAAGATTCATTTTCTAAGCAACAATGCCATTACAAAATGCACATAGTGTTCATAGAAGAAATAATGTTGTATGAAGAAAGTATAAGTATGTATTAGTATGTTTAATTAGTTAGGTACTTCTATTTAATAAACTTTCTTAAAATTATCATAGACGTTGATTTAAATCATGATTTTTATCTTGATTTAAATCAACTGATTTAACCGTGAAACTGTAAAAAATAAAGTGGTGGTGAAGAACTATACACAAACAATAATAGTATGTAAGGTAACAATTACATACATGCTATGTTTTTGTTAAAAACAACTGGTGCATTAACCCTTGTTAAAATTAAATTGTCCCTGATAATTGCATATGTTGTAATTTATTTTATTATAATATCCTTAAGAGATAGTGTTCATAGAAGAAATAATGTTGTATGAAGAAAGTATAAGTATGTATTAGTATGTTTAATTAGTTAGGTACTTCTATTTAATAAACTTTCTTAAAATTATCATAGACGTTGATTTAAATCATGATTTTTATCTTGATTTAAATCAACTGATTTAACCGTGAAACTGTAAAAAATAAAGTGGTGGTGAAGAACTATACACAAACAATAATAGTATGTAAGGTAACAATTACATACATGCTATGTTTTTGTTAAAAACAACTGGTGCATTAACCCTTGTTAAAATTAAATTGTCCCTGATAATTGCATATGTTGTAATTTATTTTATTATAATATCCTTAAGAGATTGCTGGATTTATGCAGCACACATTAACATTAATTTAACATTAAGCCAATTTAACACTAAGTTAACATTAAGCCAATTTAAGATGGGTATCTTATGCAGTAACATTAGTGGCAAATTACGCGTGCGCTTTGCCGACTATAGACCAAAAAGGAATCTATGTTGCCGACAAAAGCGACTTTGTAAACTGAAGTTTGACAGTTGACAATTCTATATTTGGTTTTATCGTTGAGTGAAGTTTTTATTGTTGTTTTTATTGTTGGAGTTTGCTTTTAAAAATGGAAGACATTTTAATGTTCATGAGTATAGTGCTCGCCGGAACTTACGTGTATTTAAAGAAAAAAAAGCGTGTGAGACGTTGGGGAGTGCGCCCTATAAACAGGTTACGCCATGAAAAAGGCCTATTTGGAGGTCTTTTAACTGACATGCTGTTAAAGCATGACGATGAATTGTTTTTTAAGTACACTCGAATGAGCCCTCGAATGTTCTTTTACCTATTGGACCTGGTCAAGGAAAGATTGCAAAAGGATAAGAGGAAAAACCCTATCCCACCTGCCCACCGATTAATTATTACCGTGCAGTAAGTCCTGTGCTAAAGTGCTGGAGAAACAACTAGCTATAATTTTATTTTTATTTTGCAGTTACCTGGCATCAGGGTGCTCTATGCAAGAAATTGCATTTGGTCATTACCTAGGATTGACGACTGTTTGCAACATAATAAAAGAAACAACAAAGGTTTTATGGGATGTTCTGCAGCCTCTGTTTTTGACCCCTCCAAGTGATGAAGACTGGAAAAATATTGAAAATGGTTTCTTTCGTAGGTGGAATTTACCCAACTGTATAGGGGCCATTGATGGGAAGCATGTGCATATTCAAGCCCCTTACAACTGTACATCAGAATTTTTTAACTACAAGAAAAGCCACAGCCTTGTGTTAATGGGTGCTTGTGATGCTTATTATAAATTCACTCTTGTGGACATTGGGGCTGCAGGGGGTAATCATGATTCTACTGTTTTTTCGGAATCTGGCTTTGGGCGGCAAATTTTAACAGGAGGGCTTGGATTGCCAGCAGAGAAGTCACTCCCTAACAGCAATATTGTGTTACCACACTATTTTGCTGCTGATGCAGCTTTTCCGCTGCACAAGTATATAATGCGACCGTACCCTGGTCAACATCTTGGGCTAGAACAAAATATTTTCAACTATAGATTGTCGCGAGCCCGTCGCATCATTGAAAATACATTTGGCATTTTGGCCCAACGATGGCGAATATTACGAGGCAATATTGTTGCAGACTACAATACCTGCCTCTCAGTTACAATGGCTTGTGTGGTGCTGCATAACTTTATCCAACGCAGTGAACTAGACATACCAGAAGAAGAGCGTCGATATTGTCCCACAGGTTATGTTGATGTAGAATTGCCTGGTGGTGAAATAAGGCCTGGACAATGGCGACAGACACCAAGGTTACGGTCTGTCACTAGAGTTGGGGCAAATAATGCATCAAGAATAGCCATGGGTAATAGGGATCTTCTGCGACAATATGTGACATCACCTGAGGGAAGTGTACCCTGGCAGGTGGACTATGTGCTCCGTGGTTCAGTGCCGCAGAACTTTACATATAATGTGTAAAAATAACATTTTTTTTAATGATCTTTGGCCCTGCAATATAAGTACCTATAATAATAATATTTAAATTTTCATAGCATATTTAATACTTTTATATTGAGCAATAAATATTTTCATTATAAGTACTTACATTGCATGACCAAAAACCTTTTTTCATGTTTTTTCTCAATATTCTACTCAATAAATTATTAGAAAATAAGAACAATATTTTTAAATAAATCTTTTATTAAAGTAAAAAAAAACAATACTTTGTATTATTAACTAAAAACTAACTAACTTAACTACCTACAAACTAACAATTTAGTTTGATTCCTCTGAATCACCTTCTATAAAAACATCCAAAATTTTTCTCTGAATCAATCTCTTTTTTTTTGGATTTTTTATTTCTGACAAATAACTTGCCACCACTCTCCCAAATGACATGTCTGCCGTTTCGGGAGAAACAGGGCGGGAAGTCAAAATATTTTTTTGATTTATATAGCTTGTAAAGCCTGTCATAGTCTCCTTTAGGGCGGACTCCAATTCGCCTTCTACTTTCCTCCTTTTACAGGCCCGGGTGTCTGCACGCAATTCTGACATCCGGGTGGGTTCAACACTGCGGCGACCTGTAGAGGGCGTCTTGGAAGTAGAGGGAGTTGTTGAGCTCTCACCCTCCATAAAATCTGTCTCCTCTGTCGACAAAGCGGCAGATCCTTGCTCAGGCTCCGTAATTTGACTATAATTATCCCATACGCTATGGGATGTCTCGGGGCTTTTTAGGCTTGATTTTGTGATATTTCCCCTGGTTCTGTAATAGTTACGATGTTAGTGTTAAAAGTGTAATTTTATTTTGTTATATCAACAAACACCATTAAACTAAGATATTAACAAAGTTGTAATAATTAAAATAACTATTTTGACACTTAAAACAAGCATTAAAAAGCCTACTTTTATTAGTGTTTGTAGATAAAACTAATTTTAAAAAAATTATAGGGTGTTGACAAACTTACCTTCTGGCACTAATAAACGGGGTCAAAAATGATAAAGCCTTAAACAAGGCCCACTGGCTTGTGGCTTGGCTGCCTGATGGGGTGTTTTTAAGGTGTCTTAACTCAGTTGTAAATCGATTTCTGAGAATCGACCACCTCTGTTCACATTCATCAGCTACAACAGAAAAATATTTATTTAAATGCTTTTCCTTTAAAAAAACTCTAGTACTTACGAGACACATCCAAAATTGCGGCTATAGTTTGCCATGCATTTTCTTTGGCAATCTTATCTTTAAATAGTGGATCATTTTTATTATATATGAACGAAAACGATTCCACTTGTTCAATTAGCTCACCATCTTTTAATAAACTCATTTTAAAATAAACCTCGAAATAAACAATGTGAAACAACAACACGAAATGCGTAGTTTATCTTAGATGCGTAGGATCTTTTAATTTATTTTCCGTTATGTTGGCATTTCGTTCGCGGTATATTTAAAAATTGCGCCGCAAACCTGCGCAGGAGGAGTAAAAATTAACATTATCATTAAGAAGATAAAAGTTGGCCATCTCTTAATGTTAGCTTAAAGTTAAAGTTAATGTTAATGTGTTGCATAAAAGCTTCCATTGGATTACGTTCATTTAACTTCTTAGTGATAATGTTAATGTTAGTGTTAATGTTAAATTAATGTTAATGTGTGCTGCATAAATCCAGCAATATGCAATAATTATAAGATATACCATAAAAAAATAGTTTTATTGTTTGTAGCACAAAAACACAAGAAATGACTTATTAAAATTCAAGACCAAAATAATATTTTACAGTATCATAAGATTAGATTTAATTACATTCAAGCAAATTAATTAGAGCGTAAAGTTACCTGATAAAGTACCGGCCACTCATTTTTCGAATTTAGAGCTAAATATTCACTTTCAATATTGTTGCCTGATGTCATTTTCTGCTCGTTGTAATCTTCAAGAAACCAACCTATAAAACTACAATCACTTTTAAACTTTATAAATATGCTTTGGAGGGTTTTTTAAACAAACCTTAATAATAAAAGCTACAATTACAGTAAACGTTCACACCACACCATTTTTAAAAGAACAAAGAGGGCAATAGACAACTTTCTCAAATGTCAAATACTTCGGCAATACAGAAATCTGTACAGTTTTACATAAAACATCGATGTTAAAAACGTCACTATCGTGATTAGTAAATTATGAAGTTAGGCAACACAGTATACAAGAATCCAATCCAATTTTTGTTTTGTTCTAAACAAGAAGACGTAGACTTTAAGCCTGATTTATATATTGCCTTTCTTCCTTCCTTCCTCCCGTAAAAGATGAACAATACGAAAACCGTAGTGCTGTTTATAAATTCCCGTACGGTAATCTATTGTTTATCTTTTACGGGAGGAAGGAAGGCAATCTATAAATCTGGCTTTAGTCTGCTTATGTCCGGTTTTATCTTCATAAGTTTTAATAATAAAAGCTTCAACATATTTTCATGGGCGGATCCAGAAATTTCATTCGGGGTGGTCACGGACCGTGGGATGAGTTTAACAAAACAGTATTATTTGTTTAAGTTAGGTCGTTAACTTTAAAAGCGGTTTCATATAATATATGTAGATGCAAAATGTGAAATACGAAAAATGTTTTCATTGGTCCATTTGATTTGAAAAGTGTTTTGACGTTTCGACAGATCCTGCGAATTCGCAAGATTTGAAATCTGGGGGCGGGAATCTTGAGATTGGTTCAATATTTTGCGAAACTCGCACGAATTTGTCGTGATGCGCATGCGCATTAATTAATTCTGTCTTCATTTCAACAATAAATAAGCGAAATTGCATGCCTTCGTCGCCAATGGTATCATTCCCTGCTTAAAATACCCCATAGAGACCCTGTTCAAACCGATAGATATTTGTATCGGGATGTATGGTGTTTCTATAGCGTGTATCGGTTTGTATAGGACCCATAGTTGAGATTTATGGTTGTTCTATAGGGATATCCACCATTGATTTATTTGCTATCGGTTTCAATGGGGAAAATATACATAAATGTAGAAATTAGTTTTTTCCCTACCCTATTAAAAATGCCATATAGAAACACAAAATAAAAATCTATCTGCAGATCTGCATGGTTCAATATAGGAATTTGAAACAGGCATTGCACTATTGAACCAGATAGAATTCCATACCTGGAAAACCATATAGAAAAGTGATTTCTATATGGATTGCCATATAGGTTCATATTGCTCTACCTGGCCCAATATGGTTTGGGTGTGAAAAAGTTATTACCATATAGATCCATATTTAACCATATAGGGAAATCTATATGGTTTAATATGCAAATATATATACATTTTAAAATGGAATTCCATATTCAACCATATAGGGAAACCTATATGGAAAAACACATAAAACAGAAACCAGATAAATCCATATAAAAATCCCTAAGTTGTACATTTTAAAATGAAATTCCATATTAAACCATATAGATTCCAAAGTGTAAACCAGGTCGTTCCATATAGGACATATAGAACCATATAAATCCATATTAGTTTCCTTATCTGGATCAATATGGGTTCTATAGGGCATTTTTAATAGGGTATAGGACCCCATAGGTTTTAATAAAATTTTGTCAAATGTTTTATGGTTGCTCTATAGGGATATCCCTATATATCCTTCATTGAGTTATTTTCTATCGGTCTCAATAGGGAAAATGTAAAAGTTATGGTGTGCCTATAGGTAATTTCCTATACATTTTCTATCGGGCTGTATCCGGAAAAAACCATGGACAAATGCACATATTGAATCCGGTAGCGCCCGATAGATTATTTTGTATAGGTCTCTCATATACTTAAGTATATGAGGTCTCTATGGGGTATTTTAAGCAGGGTTGCCACTGGTATAATTGTTCATCCATAATAAAAACACAAAATCTCAATTTACATAAAACAACAAATAGAAAATGATAACCAACTGTGGCATACATAGAAATAAGGAGTGTTATTTCTATGGTGGCATATATCGCCTGGGGAGAAAATTAAGTCCCTAAAATACCATGGCAAATATCACCTAGTGAGAAAAAAATGTCCCTAAAATAGTTCACATCTACATAAATAAAATAGGAGTTGCGAAATGTATTTCGCATTTCGCATTTCGCATCTATATGAAACCGCTTTTAAAAAATACAATAATGAGTTTGTTTGAGGAGGCTGTATGAAATAGCCCAGATAGCAAACGTGAATACGAAATCACGCGTGAGTGAATAATGTGTGCTACTTATATGATTTCACACGTGAAGTCTTGAACTCGTAATTCACACGTGAGTAGATTATGAATTCATATTATAGTATCGTGTGATTTAATCGATTTTATTTTAAAATACATGGATTGCATGATTAAAAACTGCACGTTTAAATATAAATAGAATATTAATATTCTAATATCAAAAATATTATATTAATATATTTTCATTTAATATTGTATGTCATTATAATAAATTATAATTATCTCTGGTAACACCCTCCCTTTCCCCATGTCATAAGACATTTTCAGTCACAATCTTTATTTTAAATGTTTTAAAATACACAAATTAATTATTATATGTATTAATTATATAATATATTAAGTTATAAGTAGTTATATTATATAATTATATATTATAATATATATCAGTGGCGGATTGGGGATTTTGGGTATACCAATATCTCAGTTATTAGACATGGGACCCACACCAAATTTATAATAGTTTATTATGACATTAAATAGACAAGTTCGGCGCAAACAGAATTTAAATTGAAGTTTGCGAAAAAAAGTTAGTTTTTTGTGTCGCCTCACCTGGCTTCTGGCCCCCCCATTTGAGATAATTCAAATTAAAGTTGTGCAATTTATACTTCACTATAATTTATCGGTAAATTTAAAATTTTATTTGAAAAATCCAAATATTACAGATTTTATACAATATTAAATATTTTTTTATTATAATAAAATAAATAATAAAAATTTAAAATCGTATAAAATCTGTAATATTTATATTTTTTAAATAAAATTTTAAATTTGTCGATAAATTATAGTGGAATATAAATTGCACCACTTTAATTTGAATTATCCCAAATGGGGGGGGGCCAGAAGCCAGGTAAGGCGACACAAAAAACTAACTTATATATTATATTATAAATTTGGAGTGGGTCCCACGTCTAATAAGTGAGATATTGGTATACCCAAAATCCCCAATCCGCCACTGATATATATTATTATAATTATATATATTATAGTAATATATATAATTACATAATATATATTGGTTTAAAAGGTCACAATTATATGTTATAGGTACATTAATATTTAATATATGTATATTATATATTAATTAATTAATTAGTTAACCTTAAGGTTATAATTGTAATGTATAACCTATAAATGAGGAGCAATCAACCAAAACCAGATAAATCCATTTTGACTTCTTGAATGATTCATATTTCTTTTAGTCGGATAAATCAATTGGAAAAGTGAATTTCAAGATAAACTTATTATAATAATATATATATTATATACTAATATTAATATTAGTATATAATATAATAATTATTATATAATATTAATATTAATATTATGATCATATCATATTATGATAACAAGTTTAGCTTGAAATAGATATTTCCAATGGATTTATCTGAACAAAAGAAATAGGAACCATTCAAAAAGTCGAAATGGATTTATCTGGTTTAGTCTGATTGCTTCTCAATTATGGCCTTTTAAACCAAGTTTTTGTGTATTTTTTTAAGGTGTTAAAATAAATATTTCGACAGATTAAATTATTTTGAAAAATGAAATCCATATTCTAAAAGCGCATGCGCAAAAAATAAAAAGTTCACGCGTGATGGCAAATTGAGCATCAATTGAGGACTCATCTGTCGCGTTATATGAATTCACGCGTGAATTTAATTTTCACGCGTGAATTCGTAGTGAATTAATAGTGAATTCATTTTGCTATCTGGGAGGAGTTGCGAAATGCGAATATTCGTATTTCGCATTTCGCATCTATGAAACCGCTTTTAAAAAATACAATAATGAGTTTGTTTGGGGAGGCGCCAGTCAATTTATCTAAAATCTGTTGCAGATACAAACAAAGAAATAATAATAATAATAATATTTTTGGGACACATTTTTTTTATCAAAAATCACTAATTAATTTATTAATCATAAAACTACAACAGAAAATGGTTAGTATGACAAGTCAAAAAGATAAATTAAAAGTATATTGAACATAAATTTGCTAAATTATAAGGATGATTTTTTTTAACAAATATTTCTTTAGGTAGGTAGGTACACAGAACATAAGGTAGGTAGGTAGGTACTTAAAAAAATATAAATAAAAATATTTTAACTAAATGATTTTTTTGTTTTTCGTTATAGGTATAATATATTATTTTATTATTAATAATAATAATTATTATATTATTGGCAAATTAAATTAAAAGTTTACCCGTTAACTAACCTCACGGATGTGTTTATATTTTAAATTGAAATTAGGTACTAATATAAAAATTCATATTTCTGTAACCGTTCAAATTAGCGACTTAATTTTTGTTTTAAAAACTTTGTCAATGTTCTGACTACATTTGACTCAATATATGTATTGTAGCGAGTACGGCTCTGGATCTCGGAATAATGACTCATCGCCGATGAGTCATCGCCGGTGACTCAGCGCTCGAACGATCTAGAGCTGTGTGGAGCTCGCTGGAATATTCGGGAACGAGGCACTGAATATTTAAGGAACGGCGCTGCATGGAGCAGTCAGTTGAGCTTTGGTACTCGCGACGAAATAAATAAATATAAGTGCAAATAAATAGACTCTTATACAGTAATGATATATAAATAATTAGTTGTTAAGTGTTTAGTTAGTTTTATAGTTTTTTAGTGTTTTAAGTGAATTAAGTAATAAAATA